AATAATGGGCCCTGTGCTATTTGCCTGCGTGCAAAGCAGTGTCGTACTTCTTTTCCTTCCAGTACCAATAAAACCACAGAATTATTTCAAGTGATTCACATTGATGTATGGGGTCCGTACAGGACACCAAGTTTGGATGGTTTTACTTCATTTTTGACAATAGTGGATGATTTTTCTCGTGGTACTTGGGTCTATTTATTGCGTGCAAAATCCGAAGTGCCATCCATTTTTCGTCAATTTTATGCTTTAATTGACCGACAGTTTAATAAAAAGTTAAAGATTGTCCGAAGTGATAATGGAACTGAGTTTGAATGCCTCAATTCCTTCTTTCATGAGCAGGGTATTTTACATGAGACGTCGTGTCGTGGGACGCCACAACAAAATGGTAGGGTTGAGCGCAAGCATCGACATATTTTAAATGTTGCGCGCGCCCTACGTTTTCAAGCTTTTCTACCAATCAAATTTTGGGGGGAGTGCATACTTGCTGCGGCATATCTAATCAATCGGACTACCTCCACCGTGTTGAAAGGAAAAACCCCGTACGAACTCATGTTTGGTTGCCCACCGTCGTTGAGCTCCATTCGCACCTTTGGTTGTTTATGCTATGTTCATAATCAAGATCATCATGGAGACAAATTTGAAACTCGTAGTGTGCCGGGCGTATTTTTGGGCTACCCCTACGGGAAGAAAGGGTGGCGTGTCTACTGCCGGGATACCGGGAAATTTATTACTTCTCGTGATGTAATTTTTCACGAAAATGTCTTTCCATTTCAGGAAGGAATTTCTTCCACTACAGATGCTTCATTGGACAATTTGCAACTTGGTTATTTAGATGATGAAGATGACGTACGGATTCCAGCCAGGGGGGCCTTGCTCCAACCGCCCAAAGGACGCCCATTCTACAGTCCTCGTCCTCCCTGCCTACTGTTTCTGCACATCCAGCAGACTCGTCATCCACTGCCGACGCCCAGCCCATGCTCTCTGCTGCCCAGCCGGAACTGCCGTCCACCACTGCCGAAATCCAGCAGGCTGTTTCCAGCACCGAATCAGCTCCTGTTTTGGGTCGTGGCCAGCGACAGCGGACTCCCAATGTGCGCTTAAGTGATTGCCAGACCTATGCTATCACCCATGGTGTTTCTCCTGCCATTCCAAATTGTAAGTATCCTTTGACACATTACATTGGATATGCTAAGTTTTCAGCAGGTCACCGGGCTTCTTTGGCGGCTGTGGATTCTGGACATGAGCCCCAACTTTATAAGGAGGCCGTGAAGTCGCCGCATTGGCGGCAAGCAATGACTGCCGAGATCGATGCACTGGAAAAGAATGACACTTGGCAACTTGTTCCTTTGCCACGTCACAAAATGGCCTTGGGTTGCAAGTGGGTATACCGTATCAAGCGCAAGTCTGATGGCTCGATCGAGAGATATAAAGCTCGCTTGGTTATTTTGGGAAATCATCAAGTTGAAGGTATTGACTATCAAGAAACTTTTGCTCCTGTTGTTAAACTCACTACTGTTCAGATTCTTCTTGCTGTTGCCGCTACACGCAATTGGGAGCTTCATCAAATGGACGTTCACAATGCGTTCCTTCATGGTGATTTGAGTGACGACATTTATATGCGACCACCTCCAGGTTATCGTTCTCAGACGCCCGATTTAGTGTGCAAATTGCGCAAATCTCTCTATGGCTTAAAGCAAGCCCCGCGGTGTTGGTTCGCAAAACTGTCTGGTGCATTACGTCGCTATGGTTTTGTTCAGTCTCATTCTGATTACTCCTTATTCTCTTTTCACAAAGGTGGCTCTGTGGTCCATATTCTTGTTTATGTTGATGATTTGGTGATAGCCGGGAATAACTCTCTTGAAATTACCCGTTTCAAGAAATATCTTTCTGATTGTTTTCATATGAAAGATTTGGGTGCTCTCAAATATTTTTTGGGCGTTGAAGTCGCCTGGAATTCTACAGGTATATTTTTGTGTCAACGAAAATATGCTCTTGATATTATTTCTGAGACAGGATTACTTGGATGTCGTGCACTTGGCGCTCCGTTGGAGCCTAATCATAAATTGGCATTGGCTACTGGACCATTTTTTGACGACCCAGGGGCGTATCATCGTCTGGTAGGACGCCTTGTCTATTTGTCTATTACTCGTCCTGATCTTTCCTATGCAGTCCATACCTTGGCTCAATTCCTTCAGGAGCCAAAAATTGATCACTGGAATGCTGCTCTGGGCGTGGTTCGTTATCTTAAAGGCACACCCGGGCATGGAATTCTTTTACGTTCTAATAGCGCTCTTTTCTTGACTGGATGGTGTGATTCTGATTGGGCTGCTTGCCCCTTGACTCGTCGTTCTTTGACTGGTTGGTTTGTTCAACTTGGCGTTTCTCCTGTCTCTTGGAAAACGAAGAAACAACCTACCGTGGCTCGTTCTTCTGCCGAAGCTAAGTATCGTTCTCTAGCCGTCTTAACCTGTGAGCTTAAATGGCTTCGTGGGTTATTGCGTTTTCTTGATGTTCCTCATCCAGCACCTATGCAGATTTTCTGTGATAGTACAGCAGCGCTTCACATCGCTGCCAATCTTGTGTTTCATGAGCGCACTAAGCATATCGAGATTGATTGTCACTTTGTTCAAGATGAATTATTACGTGGATCCATTCGTACATCTCATGTTTCAACTCATAACCAATGTGCGAATATCCTTACGAAAGCTCTGGGCAAAGGACGGTTCGATGCTCTACTTCCCAAGTTGGGCGTTTGTTTGTTACACGCTCCAACTTGAGGGGGGGTGTTAATTAAAATATACGTTGCACATTATTAAATATGGCAAGCATCCATTGTGGAGAAATTGATTTGTGCTACTGCGTGACTTGGAGAAATATCATGCATGGATGGCGGCACATTTAAAGGGATTTGTTTTTGGTCAAACTCCTCTTAATATTTGTTTCCTAGTTTGTAGATAATTAGTGCATGGTAGAGTTGTATAGTTATTGGGTTTCCTTGTATTAGCTAGTTATATATATATGCTGTAACATGCTATGGAATACGCAAGAGAGAAAATATATTTTTCCATATTAGAGCTTTTCACTTTGTTCGGCGGAATAGAAGAACGAGAGGGAAGAGGAAGAGATTAGGGTTTAGGGAAAATTGTTTCTCATTGATTGAATAATTTTAAACACGTACATCTCAATTTATAGAATGGAACTCTAGAACCCTAAGAGAGTCCAATCTCTAAAAGAAACTAAATAAAATAAGAAACTAATTAATAACCTAACAAAAATAATATTCTCTAATAATAATTAACTAACCATATATAATACCTTACCTATAATAATGATAATAATAATAATAATAATAATAATAATAATAATAATAATAATAATAA